AATGGTTTTGAAATCTATCAGAAGAGTGTGTGAAGAGTGTGGAAGATGCTTCCTTTCTGATCTCCTATGACAACCTATCCACATTTCTGTCCTAGCAGTTACAACACTGTAGTACAATGATCTTTTTAAAAATTTTTATTTATTTTTTTAAATTTCTTTTCAGTGTTCCAGAATTCATTGTTTATGCACCACATTAAGTGCTCCATGCAATACGTGCCCTCCATAACACCCACCAGCAGGCTCACCCAACCTCCCACTCCCACCCCTCCAAACCCTTAGATTGTTTTTCACAGTCTATAGTCTCTCATGGTTCCTCTCCCCCCTCCAATTTCCCCCAACTTATTTCTCCTCTTCAACTCCCCATGTCCTCCATGTTATTTCTTATGCTCCACAAATAAGTGAAACCATATGATAATTGACTCTCTCTGCTTGACTTATTTCACCTAGCATAATCTCTTCCAGTACTGTCCATGTTGCTACAAAAGTTGGGTATTCATCCTTTCTGATGGAGGCATAATACTCCATTGTGTATACGGACCACATCTTCCTTATCCATTCGTCCGTTGAAGGGCACTAACCATCAGAGAGATTCAAATCAAAACCACATTGAGATACCACTTTACACCACTTAGAATGGCCAAAATTAACAAGACAGTAAACAAAGTGTGTTGGAGAGGATGTGGAGAAAGGGGAACCCTCTTACGCTGTTGATGGGAGTGCAAGTTGGTGTAGCCACTTTGGAGAACAGTGTGGAGATTCCTTAAGAAATTAAAAATAGAGCTTCCCTATGACCCTCCAATTGTACTACTGGGTATTTACCCCAAAGATACAGATGTAGTGAAAAGAAGGGTCATCTGTACTCCAATGCTCATAGCAACAATGGCCACAGTCACCAAACTGTGGAAAGAAACAATTATCTTTTATATAATGGTCTTCTTCCTTTGATTGTGAATTCTTCGATTACTATAACCATATCTATTTCATTTTTGCCTTCCTGACTTAATACTGTGCTCTTGAATACTTACCAGAATTTCTAAAATATATATATATATATAAACATACATCATACGTGCTCTTCTGTGACTGTGAACTGTTTCTCTCATTTCACAAAAGAGTATCCTACTTAGTGTGTCTGGCTTTTTTTCTCAACGATTTTATTTCCTACTCTCTGATTTCAAAAACTCCCACAGTTTTTTAGTTGTCTTTTTATATGTGGTTTCTAAAATTTTAGCCCCGAACTTTTTCCCCAAGCTCCATTTATAAAAACCTATTATATACTGAGTATCTAAGTTTCACATTCTAGTAAACATCCATTACATTCTCCAATATACCCAAGGTATAAAATATGAAGTTATCCTGGACTCCACCTTCTCTCTACATCAAATGAACCCTGTTAATTCTATCTCCAAAATATCCACCAATTACTCTCTCATCTCTATTCTTTGCAGTGACTTATTCAGGCCCCTCCCGTGTCCCACCTATATTATAAAAATAGGAGCCTCTCATCTCTCTGTCCCATTTCTCTCATCACTTCCTCTGCTTTCTTCTTCAATCTATGTACAAACCATTGTTAGAGTAGGCTTCCTAAAACAAAAACCTGGTGTGTTATTTCCTTGCCTATGGTACAATAGCTTCTGCACAGGATAATGGTGAAATGTTAACTAGCAAGACCCTACTTAAAGTTCTTCACAAACCTGGGTGAGGTTGTTTTTTCCATATATAACTCCCGCCACTTTTCTCCTTCTATCCTCAAATACCGTCTATTTTGTGATTAAAAAATATTTATAAAGCCCTAATTTGAAAATATATGAAACTCTGAAAATAATCACAGATTTTAAAAACTGACTTAAAAAATGAATTTCAAGCTGTATTTTCCACTGGAGACACATGATGGCAGCATTTTAGCTGCCTAACGGCTGTATTGCAACTCCTTTGTTAACATCCTGTGGATATGCTTATAAATTTGTGCATGTGCTTTGTGAGGACTACTGTAATATTATTTTAAACATTATTAATAGTATGCTAGTGTTAAAATGCTCTGCAATAACTTTGAAACAAATTTAGAGGTGCTAAAATTATTTATGTATTGTGTTTTTATTATTCACTTTATTATGGACTAAATCCATATTCATATGTTGATATCCTAACCCCAATATTCTTCAGAATACGATTGTATTTGAAGATAAGGTCTTTAAAGAGATAATTGAGTTAGAATGAGGTTTTTAGGGTTGGCGCAAATCTAAAATGATGCGTGTGCTTATAAGAGGAGATTAGGACACAGACGAGTACAGAGGAAGACCATGTAAAGACACAAGTAAACAATCAACTATTAGCCATGGAGAGAGGCCTCAGAAGAAATCAACCCTGCTGACTCAAACCTTGATCTTGGACTACTAGACTCCAGATCTGTGAGAAAACAAGTTTCTGTCGTTTAAGCCACCCAGTGTATGTTACTTTGTTATGGCAGCCCTAGCGCACTAATAAGCCTTTTGGATGTTTTAAAATACATGCATACAATATACATAAATATGATAGCTGTGGACTGATAGAATATGTAAGGCTATAATCTCCCTATTATAGTTATTCTTAGAGGGGAATTATTTTTGATTTATGTGAGTTTTTAATCCATGAACTCTTCAGAAATCCTTGCCTCAAGTAAAATGTCACCGTCTCAAAACTTGCGCATTTGCTTCTACTGATCATTAACGTAGCAGGTCATATGTTTTTACTCATTTACCCTTGCTCAGCAGAATTTAATGGAATGGCTAAGGGTGCAGATTCTGGAGCCAGATTGCTTGGGCTCATAGCCCACTTCATCACTAACTGTGTAGCTCCGGGCAGTTACTCAAAAAGCCACATTTTCCTCAGATGTCTGTACAGAAACAGTCACAAGAGTACCTATCTTAGAGAGTTCTGTAAGGATTAAAAAAGTTGATGGACTGAAAGTGTGTGGAGTAGTACTGGGAACATAGTAAATGTAATTATGCTGTTCCTAATTCCTCTGCTTGGTTAGGCTCTAGTTATCTCTTTGAGAAAAACTTTTTATCCTTCAAGGACCAGAGGAAAATATATCTCTACTTTGAAATTTTAGAGACTCAAACTCCCCCTTCTTCCCAGACTGAAAACTAAATAAACTTGTGCTGCTAAAGATACTGCAGAGAGTTGAGCTTTGGTTTCAAATACAGATTTTTTCCACTTACCTATTATATAATTTCAGACAACTTACTAATTTCTTTGAATTTCTGTATCAAGTACAGTACCCTGACTTGGGAATTCTCAGTGGTTGTTTTTCTAATGAATACATATTACATCTGTAGGTTTGGGAATGTAGCATCAACTACATAAGATACAACAGTGTTCCCAAAGGGTAGGACTAATGAAAGTACCAAGATGCTTTTAGATGAGATGGACATGGCATCGAGAATACCCAGTCATAAAGAGAAAATTCTCCTTCTCTTTTTTTCTTTTTAAGATTTTATTTATTTATTTGAGGTAGAGAGAGAACACAAGCCAGGTGTCGGGAGAGGGAGAAGCAGGCTCCCTGCAGGGCAAGGAGCCCAACAACCTGGGGCTGGATCCCAGGACCCCGGGGATCATGACCTGAGCAGAAGGCAGATAGATGCTTAATTGACTATGCCATCCAGATGCCCCAAGAAAATTCTCCTTTCAATTTTATTTCAATACTACTAATTAGGTCAAGGAGAGAAACCTTTGTTTAGTGCTATGTTTTTAACATTTTTCTCTAATGTCTGCTGATCTACATTTGTTTGTCCTTGGTTTTTGCTTCTTCGTTTTGAGAAAGAGCATGCCCACAAGTAAGAGTCACGAGTTTGGGGAGAGGGCCAGGGCCAGAGGGAGACAGAGAATCCTAAGCAGGCTCCAAGCCAGACATCTGACTGGAACACACCACCCCAGATTATGAAACACCCTCACCCCAGTTGCTCAACTGACTGAGCACTCAGGAGTCCCGCTAATCTATATGTTTAATGAAGAGAGATTCAGAGCCTTTACTAGGTAAGATCTTAGCACTGAATCAATTTTTTAAATGAATTACACTTATTTTTACTGTTTTATTTTAATTTATGGCAGGTCACAATGCTTTTTCAATTTATGGTAATGATACAAATTTTTCTTTTAAAATAAATTAAGTATAAAAGGTAATTTGATTTAAGGAAAATATTAAGTATATAATAGCAGTATACATAGTGAAGGCAAGGAGAATAACATTCAAATTATTGCATTTTGCAACTGATTTATATGAACTGCTATGAATTATTGTGTTCATTATAATTCATGGTAGCTGTTAAATTTACTAACAAAGGTGGTAGCAATTACTGTTGTATCAAGTATTGTTTTGATTTATAGTACTCCAAAAACGGACTAGAACCAATACAAGGATGAACTCAACGCAGCTGTTGTCTCATTCCTCTGCACCAAACTTCAGATATTCCAGAAAAGCCCGAGAGAGAGTAGGAGACAGACACTGAACGTGCTACAGAGGTCTCATGATCTCTTATCATTATCACCCACGTTACTTGGCCAAAGACCTGCCCTCTGCAAGGTCAGCATTTGTTGAAACCATAGCTTGAAAATTATGGGAGACTTACGGCAATTCAGGGTGTAACTCTTTCCCACCTTCCGTTCTGGTCCAAACTTTCCTAGGATACATTATTGGAATCAATTTTACCGCCCGTTTCCTTACAGATGCAGTAAAATACTAGCCACATCAGTAACAGCAGGGGGAGTTTATTTCGACTTTCAAATTTTAAAATATTTGCTATATTATTCTGGTATTTGGTAGGAACCTGAATCACTACACGCTTTCAAACTACAACTAACTCTACGGCAGCTCTCGCCGCCCTCACGTGACTTCCAAACTGCCTCTCGCGGAAGCGCGCTGACGTCATCCTGTCCTGCGACTTGCAGACGCCGACCAGCGGCGCTGCGTCTCGGGTGTCGCTTTGCCGGAAGCTCTAGTTGGGCCACACGGGCCACAGTACTTTTTCTTCTCCCGCTGCATAAGGGTGGTTGCGTCTTTTTCGTGGGCTCATAGCGGCGGGCGTTTTTGCAAAATCGGGGCGCAGGCCATGGCGTCGAACTGTCTCGAGACCCTGTCCTGACGCCTCCGTAGCGCGGAGGAATGTGGACTCCTGTGGGTCGTGGCAGGTGGCACGGTCGCGCGCTCACGGTGTGGGCCGCCGCAGCTGCACATCGGGGGCTCCTGAAGCCTCGTCCCACGCCGACCCGTGAGGCTGCTGCCAAGTCCAGGACTCTCGACCGGCTCTACAGCTCTGCCGACCGCAAGGTGACCGCCATTAGTCTCTGATTAACCGTGTTTTAAAACTACGGAGGACGTTCCTTGCAAAAATGTAGGCTGGAAGGGCTTCCTAGACTACGTGTGAATGCGGGTTGAGATTCTGTGGGGGAGGTAGAGCTTAGAGAGCGCCTCGCTCTCGGGTTTCTGTAGGCTCCACCGCTCACCTCTGTGACCTTGGGCAAGTCACTTCTCGAGTTCACTGGTTTGTAATGTCAGTAACTAATTTATTGATTATGCGAGGCACTGATGCAGGGGTTTTGCATGCATTTAATTCTCTTAAAAGCCTGCTGAAGAGGCTAGTGTAACCTCCATTTTCCTGCAACTTAGTAGCTCTGTGGCCTGGGGAAGCTACTTGAACGTCCTGTAACTTTTCTTCAGTGGTAAATGAATGAGATAAGAATAAAAGAATGGCTCTTCATGAGGATGGTAACTACGTAAGGAATAAGACTTTTTAGTCCGATATCTAGAATGGAAGATGTGCTGGGTATGCTTTAGCTTCTGTTTCTTATTTGATTTTAAGTGATCCAAAGCAAACTTGTTTTCTGAGTTTTTGTTCTTGTGGTGGAGAAGATGAGGAATTCTCACCTCATTTAAAAACTTTTTAAAAATACACTATTTATTTGCTAGGAAAAGATACAGTTTAGGCAGAAAAGTAGAGTAATTGAACACAAGTTAGGAGTACCTGGAAAAAAATAAGACTTAAAGTATGATAATGCCCTCTTCTAACATGCTTGTGGAATGTAAAATGGATTTATCTTGCAATTCAAAGTTCTTAAAAGTGGTACAGTCCTGTGTATCTTTTTAATTGAATGGCTATTGAAAGGGCAGTGTGGGAAATACACCGGGCAAACAAATCAGGTTTAGTTTTTAATCAGAATTTCTTTCAAATATAAGTGCACTTTCATTGTCTGCTTTGTATTGGAACATTTATGAAAAGAAAACGTAAAGCCCCTGAGTATTATGTATTTCATTGTAATTTTACTTTTTTTTTTTTTTTAAGATTTTATTTATTATTTGACAGACACAGTGAGAGAGGGAACACAAGTTGGGGGAGTGGGAGAGGAAGAAGCCAGCTTCCTGCTGAGCAGGGAGCCCAATGCCCAGTGTAGGGGCTGTTTCCAGATCCTCAGGCCCCCCGGGATCATTACATGACTGGAAGGCAGTCACTTAACAACTAAGCCACCCAGAAGCCCCAATAATTTTACTTTTTTAATGCTGATTATAAGATGGATTTGCTTGGAAAAATAAAATGTTTAGGGTACCCAAAAAGATGGCGTATTCTACTTGAATAAGCATTTTTAGCAGTTTGCAATGAGTCTACATAAGACATTAAAGAAGATGTATATAACTAAAAATCGGGAGTTACATTTTAAAATATTTTAAAATGTTGAATGATAAGAGGTTTTTTCTTTTCTTTCTTTTTTTTTGCTGCTGATATCTTTTTTCCCTCTCTCTTCAAAGAAGTTGCTAAATAACATAATTGTATCTGATTAAACTTTTGAAGATTCTATTAGGAGCACAGATTTTTAAATAGATTTGACTGCTGACTAAATGTGTGATGAGGGCAAAGAATTTCCTTTTTTTCTTAAAACTTTTCTGTAGCTTTTTTTTTTTTTTTTTTTTTTTTTTGCTTCAAGCAGTTTTATTAGGCCAGGCACTCTAAGGCTGTTCAGGAGTTCTAGGTATCTTGTGTTCTTCTTTCATGAAAATAAATTCATTTCCTCATTGGCCCTCTAAGTGGTGGAAATATTTATAAAGGACTCCTCTTTAGCTTGGTTGTCACCTTGACTGTGAAACTGATATATTTGGTAAGTGTGGTTTTAATCATTTGCTTGTAATTAGAGTTTAGCCATACACCTTTTTATTGTCATAGGAATAATATAAATGTTATAAAATGAAATGGCTTAGACTAAAGGAATAATCTTTGAATTAGTATTCTTTTTTCATATAATGCAAAATGTATACTCATAAGTGTTTTATTTTTCTTCCCTTTCTAGGAAAAAATTGACCTATCTAGATTCTCTGTTGAAAATATTAGAAATTTCAGTATCATTGCACATGTCGATCATGGCAAAAGTACTTTAGCTGACAGGCTCTTGGAACTAACAGGTATTTTCATTTTATGTTATATAGTTAATTGATGGCCATGAGTAATTAATCATCATTTTTACTATGATTTTTAAAATTTTGGTTTTAATTTTATATATGTAATATTGTTTCTTTAAAAGCCCATTGAAGTATCAATAAGTATTTCTCTTTATAGGCACAATTGATAAAACAAAAAATAATAAGCAGGTTCTTGATAAATTGCAAGTGGAACGAGAAAGAGGAATCACTGTTAAAGCCCAGACAGCATCTCTTTTCTATAATTGTGAAGGAAAGCAGTACCTTTTAAATCTCATTGACACACCAGTAAGTTTAATATTTTACCTCTCTTGTTAAGTCAGCCTTGTATTAATAGTGGGAACAAATCCTTGTTCAGTTTTTGAACTGAACATAAACACTTTGCTCTTTGTTTTCTCAGTGTTCTTATGTTTGAGTAATTGTTTCACAAGTAGAGGCTAAAAAAAGAAATGACTAACTTTTTATCAAGGGGAGTCAGTAGATTTGCCATAATGCCCCTCCCTAAAAATATTACAGCTAACTTTAGAAATATCAATATTTTTTGTTTTTCAGGGCCATGTTGATTTTAGTTATGAAGTATCCAGATCACTCTCTGCTTGCCAGGGTGTGTTACTTGTGGTTGATGCAAACGAGGTAGGTACTTTTAATTTCATGTGGTGTGATACGCTCTAGGTTATTTCAGGGTATTTTCCTTAAAATGTATTTTGGAAATAGAATTTTTGTGTTTGAAAAGAATAAGATTTATTGTATTATTTAAGCTAAAGCACATGATTTAGTCCTGGTACTTTGAATTTTATTGCACTAAAACAGTCTGTGAAATTGACAAGTTCATACTTTAAACACTTTAAGCTGATCAGATGAATGAAGGGATTGGTGAAGTATATTATATTTACATTGATCCTACCAAAAACTCACTTTTTAGCAGTTCTTTATTTGGGGTTTTAATACTAATTTTTAGCAGAACTTGAAAATGAATCTATTTTGGAGGTTATTTTGGGTGATTTTAAGGTAATAATGTTTTAAGTTTAAAGAAACATGTCAGTAACATTACCAGGTTCTTGTTTGGTATAAAGAGAACCATAAAAAAACATATTCGTTGATGATATAAGACTTACTATGTACTATTAAAGTAAGCTTTTGATATAATTCAGTTTCTCACAAACTTTTCATTTAAAACCCAAGATAATTGTTGTGTTAAACCTTCCTTGTTCCTGTCAGGGAAAGTTTATGTCTAGCTTATACACATAATACAGGGTTTTATAAACCACATCGTATGACTGTGTCCTTTAGTAGGCTTTCATGACCTTGAGGGTTCATGTTTCACTTTTTTTTGTCTCCAGTAATGTTCTCCAAAATGAAAGGAATTTTCACAAGGAATTAACCAATTCATGGATAGGACAGCTAGAAATTATTCTTGCAATCCAGTTGAAAGAACTAAGGCACAAAGGTTTTACTACTTTAAGATTATAGATCTAGTTAGCTAATGTGCCAGGACTAAAACACAAGTTTTCTGCAACTGATTACAATAGTATTTCTTGTTAGCCATTTTTCCTCTGTGGAAATACTTTATATATACTCATGGAAGTATAGATACTGTACTTTACTCTGTACCTCTGCTTTTGGTGAAGATGTATGGAGTAACTTAAATTATAAGTTTTGTGATAGATGGTAGAATGGTCATATCAGTATCTTGTGTCTTGATATTTCTAGGGTATTCAAGCGCAAACTGTAGCAAACTTCTTTCTTGCCTTTGAAGCACAGCTGTCGATAATTCCAGTTATAAACAAGGTAATTCTAGGGGTGCCTGGGTGGCTTAGTGGGTTAAGCCTCTGCTTTCGGCTCAGGTCATGATCCCAGTGTCCTGGGATCGAGCCCCATATTGGGCTCCCTGCTCAGCGTGAAGCCTGCTTCTCCCTCTCCCACTCCCACTGCTTGTATTCCCTCTCTTGCTGTGACTCTCTGTCAAATAAATAAAATCTTTAAAAAAAAAATAAATAAACAATGTAATTCTAATGAGACAACAATAATGTTTATTATTTTATTTTCTAAAAGTGAATTTGGTGTTTGACTATTAAGTATACTATTTTTTATATGAGGAATCTTCAATTATATATTAAATGTATTGGTAGGATTTATTTCTTTAAATTGCACGTGATAGAATTGCAACTCAAACTCCTATATCCTTGCACATAGTTGAGAAGACATTCTCCCTGAATTGACATGGAGTGATTGAAGGCTGTTTCTTTAGGAAAGAAATATATTTCTTTCTTTGGCACGGCAGCCAAAAAATTATGTTTATCACACTAAAACATATATTGGAAAAGAAAAAGCACTTAAGATCTTGGGGAAAACAGTGTAACACATGAAACATAACAGTTAAGTGCTAAGCTGAATACTGTTGATAAACCTTAGCTTTTATATTTTGAAATTAATAAAGAATCTTTATTTAAAAATCTTCATTGTGGGGTACTTGGGGGGCTCAGTCAGTTAAGTGTCTGATTTTTGATCTCAGTTCATTTGTGAGTCCAAGCCCTGCATTGGGCTCTGCTCGACATGGATCCTACTTTAAAAAACAAACAAACAAAAAAAAAAATAATAAAAAACAAACAAACCAAAAAAAACTGCATTGCATTTAGTTGAATTTTTTTTATAATGGAGTTAAGTTTAAATGAGGCAGAGTTGCTTATGGTAAGACAGTTTGTTGTCATGAGTTACATCTAACTTGTAAAATCAGTTTACATGGTGTTAGTTGATACGTTGTTACTGAACTCTTCTGCCTTGAATTGCCTGCTCCCTAAAATTTTTGCATGCTCTGCTTTGCCTACCCTCTGTTTTTCAGTAGCCATACTTGTTAAAATTATATTGCCTATATCTAGATTATTTTAACACTTTCGAAATGAAAAATAGAGGTATCAGTTATTATAGGTATGCTTTTGATTGTTTGAATGCTATTAATATGTAATACATTTTATTTTATTTTTACTGTGTTAAGACAATGAATTTTTTTCTTAAGGTAGATCTGAAGAATGCTGATCCTGAAAGGGTTGAAAAGCAAATTGAAAAAGTGTTTGATATTCCAAGTGATGAATGTATTAAGGTAAAATACCCTTTTTCTTGAAGACATACTTTAAAAAATGTCGGGTATTAGCCTAAGTGAAATTTCATAGTATTTGATAGCCCATCGGTATATAAAGTTTTCATAGTTTTATAAAGTTCTTTTTACTAATATTTCATTTGATCTTCACCAAAAACCCTTGTTACATGGTTAGGACAGATAGGAATTATTCTTACAATACAGTTGAAAGACCTAAGGCACAAAGGTTTTATCACTTTCTTAAGATTACAGATCTAGTTAGCTAATGTGCCAGGACTAAAATGCAAGTCTTCTGCAACGGATTACAGTAGTATTTCTTGTTAGTATTTTGCCTCTGTGGAAATACTCTCTCTCTATATTTATTTATTTAAAGATCTATTTATTTTTATTTTACAGAGAGAGTATGCAAGAGTGGGTTTGGCAGGTGGAGGGAGAGAGAATCCTCAAGTATACTCCCTACTGAGTGCAGAGCCTGACTCAGGGCTCAGTCCCAAGACCTTGAGATCATGACCTAAGCCAAAATCAAGAGTCAGAGGCTTAACTGACTGTGCCACCCCAGCGTGCCTGGAAATACTCTCTTTAAAGAACAGATTCAAATTAATTACAAGGCGTTTGTATGTATTAGTTTTGGAATTGACAAAGCTTTTTTTTATAATAGAACTAGATATAGTAATAATCTTAACAGATTTTATTTATATCAAAGTTGATATTACCTTTTTTTTTTTTTTAAGATTTTCTTTATTTATTCATGACAGAGAGATAGAAGGAGGCAGAGGCAGAAGCAGGCTCCCTGCTGAGCAGAGAGCCCTATGTGGGACTCGATCCCAGGACCCTGGGATCATGACCTGAGCCCAAGGCAGATGCTTAACCAACTGAGCCACCCAGGCACCCAAAGTTGATATTACTTCAAATTTGAATTTTTTTATTTACCTTTTAAATGATGACTAGGTGTTGAATAGCCATGGCCAGACTGTGCTGTGCTATGTTGTAAGTGTGTCAGTGCAACAGTATAGCATTCAGCTTCCACTTTGGTCTCATTTGATTTTTTGAAAAAGCAAGTTTCAGATGATGAATTATTTTCTTTTGTTTAACTTTAACACAGTGGAGGATTACATACAATATGGTATTAACTGAAAAACTGTATTTTTTTTCCCTTGGAGATAGATACACACGTAGAGAATTTAATGGTTTTTATTACAAAGAGGGACCTCATTATAAAGCAGTCCTGGAATTATGGTTTCATAACTTGTTAAAGTATAATGAACTATTCTGATTTTAATACATCTTTACAAAATTTATTCAGATACTTATTTGGAATGTGCCAGCTAGGGGCACAGCTGTGAACAGGCTAGATAAGACTGCTGTATCATTGTGTTATGTTCTCCTTAGGGAGTCCGTCGTTAAATGAGTAAAGAAAGAAGTAAGTGAGTAAGTGTAGTAATTATTGAATAAGACAGGTAATGTCAAGAAAATTCATTTAGCAGATTGTGTTGTTTCAGGTGGAGTATCATACTTAACTATAGAAAAGTAGTTTTTTCTCAGAGAGATGCTATGATGCAGAGTAACTTAGGGCATCTCTGATGAACTGAGACTGAAGAAATGAAGGTTGGGAGAAACTTCCAAGAGGAGGAAAGAGCAAGTGTATAGGCTTGGCATGTTTAGCAAGGTTTGACATGTTTAAGGAACAGAGCAGAGGCAAATTAGATGAGATGGCTTTGTAGGGATAGGCAGGAATTAGGTCATGCTGAGACTCTCGCTTTGCTGAGGTTTGAAAATGATTCTATGATAAAGGATTTTAAAGTAAGTGAAGAAAATAAACTGATCTGGTTGCCTTATAGAGAATTCACTAGAAAACAATAAGAAGAGGTAAGGGGAAACTGGTTTGCAGTAATAGCTGAAGTGCTTATAGTGGTGGCTAAGTATGTGATGTTGATATTGGAGAAGTCGGCAGATTTGATATTTATTTGGAGAGATAGGAAATAGATACTTGGATAGGAGAGATTTGGTGTGGGTACATGTGAGGAAGTGAAATAAAGGGAAGAATCAGGTAGCTTTGGGTTTAAGCAAGTAGCTGCTACTAGATGTTAATATCCATATGAGGAGGAGTTGGAGAGGAAATGATATAGGAGAAAACAGAAAGCTTTGCTTTGTCTATTAGACATCAAGTAGAGATAATGTATAAATCTTTAATTCAGGCTTTCATGGAGATAATTGCGGTCAGAGATGGATACATAGGAGTTGTTAACATGTGTGTGGTAAACAAATAGGGTTTCATAGGGAGAAGTGTAGAGAAAAGATCCTAAGAGTCAAACTACATTATTGTGAATTTGAGGGTGTTACAAGTAAGAACTTGAGAAGGATTTGAGTGGAATTCAGAATAAAAAGTATGGAAGGATTGAGTCTCCAGAGAAGGGGGAATAATTTCCAAATTATAGAGACCGCAAAGAGGTTGTGATATAGATACAGATAGATTCATATATTTTGGATAAGGAAGTTTGTGATATTTTCTGTTTCCTTAAAGGAAATAACAGTCAAAGTCATCAACCAAGAGTGAATTGGCCAGAGGGGAAAATGTGTAGATTGAAAAAGAAGGTAGTGTGAAACACCTTACTGAGTGGTAATGTGAATTTACTATGGGATGCATCTTGGGAAGTTAGGAAGTTTAACTGCACGTTGAGATGTGTGGTCATGAATTCAGAGAAACTTGCCAGACCAGTTACTTGATTTTTCTCCAGTAATGTTAAGCCCTTTGTATTATAGGCACAGAAAAGACACTTGTTGGGACACCTGGGTGGCTCAGTCAGTTAAGTGTTTGACTTTGACTCGGGTCATGATCTTGGGGTCTTGGGATCCAGCCCTGTGTTGGGCTCTATGCTCTGCAGGGGGTCTCCTTCTCCCTCTGTCCCCTCTCCTCCCGCTTGTGCTCACTCACTCGCTCTTTCTCAAATTAGTAAAGTCTTTTTAAAAAAAAAAAAAAAAAAGGTAAGACACAGTGTTGGAAGCAGTCACAGTTGAGTTTTACCAACCTTATGATAGGAGAGAATCCGTAGTGGTTGAACTGTGATTGTAAATAGTGGACCTTGGAGTTTCTGCTGGGAAAGGAGGGGACATGGGGCTAATGGATAGTGAAAGGAGATAGTCCATTCAATGGTTTAGAGATGGGAACTTGAAGGATTGTTGCAAAGAAGGTATGGAGTCTAGAGCAGTGGTTCTCATTAGGGGGTATTTTTGCCCTGTAGGAAACATTTGGCAATATCTGGAGATGATTTTTGTTGTTATACTGGGGAGTAGGTGCTATGGTCATCTTGTGGGTAGATGACATGCCATAGATTCTGTTAAAAATCCCTTAAGACAATTATCAGTCCAAACTGTCCTTAGTGCTGACTTGAGAAACTGATCTGGAGAGAGTTTAAAGGTTAAGAGGTGGTGTTTAGGAAATGAGTTTTAAAATCAAGATTTCAGAGATAGTCCAGCTATTAGTTATGACAAAGTTGAGTCATACCTGTGTTTTTTGAGTCTTCAGGCTTGCTCTCTCAGTGGGAGAACAATAGTAGTAATATCCCTTGTAACTGCATGTGTGTTATCCACAATATTGTTTATTCTCTTTACACAACAATCTTGAGATTTAGGAAAAATATAAATGATCATTTATTAGATGAGGAACTTGAAGCTCAAATATGTATTGCTCAAGTCATACAGTCCATACAGAGTCATAACTGTTACTCAGATTTTTTTAAACTCTTAAGACCACTGCTCTTTCATTACCATAATCAGAATGTTTTTGCAATTTAATCCAAGAACCATAGACTCACCTAACTGTATTGGAAGGACATTTGTCAGTATAGTATATGCTTTGTGCTTCCTTTTATTACTGTCTTCAAATTCATAACTGTTAGAATTCTTTCTTTTTTCTGATTATAAAGCTCAGTCACCTGGATAGAAAAGTAGTCTTTAAATCCTTATTTTTTTAGTATACTTTTTTTTAGATATCTGCTAAACTTGGAACAAATGTTGAAAGAGTTCTTCAGGCAGTCATTAAAAGAATTCCACCGTAAGTATTTTGCTATTTTTGTACTTTTTACTTATCTTTAATAGTATAAAGGCCATCAGTCTGATCTGTAATTTTAGATTAGACTATACTTGTGGTGAGTGATAATACATTATTTTTAGTTGTACATAGAAATCAAGTACAGTGTAGAAAAAGAAAGCAAACAAGGGTGATTGAGTTCTCTTCTTAATAATTATTGTAATAGGGTGCCTGAGTGGCTCAGTGGGTTAAAGCCTCTGCCTTTGGCTCTGGTCATGATCCCAGGGTGTTGGGATTGAGCCCCACATCCGGCTCTCTGCTCAGCGGGGAGCCTGTTTCCCCCTCTCTCTGTCTCTTCCTGCCTCTCTGCCTACTTGTGATCTCTGTCTGTCAAATAAATAAATAAAATCTTAAAAAAAAAAAATAATTATTGTAATAGGGGCACCTGGATGGCTCAGTGGGTTGAGCCTCTGCCTTTGGCTCGGGTCATGGTCTCGGGGTCCTGGGATCAAGCCCATGTTGGGCTCTCTGATCAGCAGGAGCCTGCTTCCCCCTATCTCTCTGCCTGCCTCTCCACCTACTTGTGATCTCTTTCTCCATCAAATAAATAAATAAAATCTTTAAAAAAAAAAATCATTGTAATAGAGAGACTTTAATTTATTCAAGACTTGAGTAAATTATTACTATTTTTTTAAAGATTTTATTTATTTATTTGACAGAGAGAGATCACAAGTAGACAGAGAGGCAGGCAGAGAGAGAGAGAGAGGGAAGCAGGCTCCCCGCTGAGCAGAGAGCCCGATGCGGGGCTCGATCCCAGGACGCTGAGATCATGACCTGAGCCGAAGGCAGCGGCTTAACCCACTGAGCCACCCAGGCACCCGAATAAATTATGTTTTAAAACTGAATAAATGTATTTCATCAGTTTCATAAATCATCTTAAAACATTTAAACTCAAGGTTGCAATAAAATTAATATAAAAATAGGCATTATACTTTTTTGGAAGATATTTTTATTTTGGCTGTCACTTATTAGCCTTTCTTAGGTACTAGAATAAATTAAGCATAATATTATTTAAATAATAGTCATTTTATTAAGAGTTTAATTTATTATGTGTACATTTTCTTTTTACTTATTTTTAATAGTCCTAAAGTGCATCGCAAAAATCCCCTCAAAGCTTTGGTGTTCGATTCCACATTTGACCAGTATAGGGGTGTGATAGCCAATGTAGCGTTATTTGATGGAGTGGTTTCCAAAGGAGATAAAATTGTATCTGCACATACTAAAAAGACATATGAAGTTAATGAAGTAGGAGTTCTGAATCCTAATGAGCAGCCAACACATAAACTGTAAGTAATCTGCAGTAGTAATTAAAATACATTTGTATGTGTTGCAATCTCTGCCTTTCTCAGCTTGGTATGCTTAGAATGATCCCAGTTTGGTAACTCAGAGAAGAAAAACCCAAACTGATTATTTAATGCACCTAAATATTAACTGCTCTTGCAAAAGGAATCTCATGTGTGAAGGACTAGTCATAACAAATTTTATGATCTGTATTTGATGAGCCAGTGAAAGAGATGGTTCTGTCACCCATATCCAAATCATACTGGGTATCAATTTTGATATTTAATTTTTTTATAATTAGATTTTTCAACATAAAAGTAGTGAAGAAAATTTGGTAATTTTTTTCCTTTTGTATGGAATTCATTGTAAAACTTTGTTTAAAATCCATGGCACATGGGGTTAGTAAGATAGTGTGTATTAGAAAAACTGAATTCTGAGTTCACTGACAAATACTTGAGTGCCTGCTCCATCAGTACTGAAAGGTACTGATGAGATAAATCATCTGGCATATACCAGGAGCATTCTAAGGTCTTTGTTTCCTCATCTGTAAAAATTAAGGTAGTGACCATAGAGGTCACACTTGATAGTTTAATGCTTGTCTAAAACCAGCACTATTTTGCTTAATACATTTTTTATTTAATAGAGTCATAAAATCTATTTTAATTTTACTCAAAGATTTCTGGAGTCTGTATTCCATCATGTAATGCATACATTGACCATTACTATATCTTCACTTAAGATTCTGATACCTTATCCTAAACGTAAATTAGTTTATCATGTAGGAAATTTGCTTTATTAAAAAAAAAAAAAACTAATCTAAAACTCTGAAATCTTGGGATGTGCTCTTTTCATATAAGAGGAACATCAAATTGGTGCCAGATTTGTTTAGAGTTCACATTTTTCTGCTTGGTTTTAAAAATTTATTTTTTTTAGAGCACATTAGTGACACAATTCATTAATAAAATAGTGTTTTACACTTCACAAGAAGTTATTTTGTGTTTCTGCACTTAGTTTTACTTTGTTTACATTATATTTAGAAGCTGTTGTTTAATATGCAGAGGTGAGCAGAGTCATGAGGAAGGCCATAAGACTTGTGTTTTAGAGGTCCTTGATAATGGACTGTAAGGCATGGTATGTTCTTTTGCTGACAGTTTAGTGTTGAGAATTGATACATAATACTTATTTTGAATTAGATGAGGTTTTCTTTGGAAAATATAATCATTTCCGGGAAGGGTAATTGTGAGTATGCACTTTAAACATTAAAGCAGTAAATATTTCCATATAATAATTTTATTTAGATATGCAGGACAGGTGGGCTATCTGATTGCTGGGATGAAAGATGTCACTGAAGCACAAATAGGAGATACATTATATTTACATAAACAACCAGTGGAGCCCTTGCCTGGGTTTAAATCAGCGAAACCAATGGTATTTGCAGGTGAGGAGCTCACAAATGCAGGATGAGGGCCAATTTATTATGTAAATTGAAGTAAGAATTATTAGAAATACTCATTTTAAATAACAGCTAATTCCAGAATATTCTATTTCTTTTAGTTTTTTTGTGTGCTATTTATGTATCAGTTAATTTCATATGTATAGTGCAACTTTATGTGGGAGATCATTTCCTACATTTTTTTTTTATCACTTCTTAGAAAGTATAAGCTCTTAAACGAGCTCTCTGGTATATAAAAGAACATAGATTTTCTTTGTTTCACTAGAGAGTAAATCATTGCATTTGGAATATTTTTCTAGTTAGGATGTTTTCATTACTAATTGTCAGTGGACATTTACTGACTGCCTTTCTGTTAGTTGAACTTTGTTTAATATTGTACAGTACTGGTGTAGGCATGGCAGAGGATAGTGTTACTTCTCATATGCACGACTTCACAACCTTTTACTACTGTGTGATGTTAAAGACATTTGGAAAAGGAAGGCTTGATTGAAGGTCATCAAGTTACTCTGTGCTGGATATGCAGCACTTGCTTTTCTCCCTCTGTTTGTGTCTCTGGGAAGTATGAAGTTTGTTTAATCCTACGTTAGGCAAAGTCAGTCATTTGAGTTTTGGAGGATGTGAGAGATGAGGATGATTAATTTTGATCCTGGAAGAATTGTATATTTAGTTTTAGGTAGATTTTCACATGTGATAATTAGAAATCGTTGTGTCCTCAGGAATGTACCCTATAGACCAATCTGAATATAATAACCTGAAGAGTGCTGTAGAAAAGTTGACTATAAATGATTCCAGTGTGACAGTTCATCGGGATAGTAGCCTTGCCTTAGGTGCTGGCTGGAGGTAAGATTCTTTTCTCTGTAGGATCAAATTTCTATTGAGAAGTGAAATTTAAGTGGTTCATTGGTCCTCAACATTTCATCTCTGAAGATAAGTTCTTAATAGTGTAAAGTGAACCAAAATAAACATCTGCCTATTTCACATTGTATTCATACTCTGTGGGTAAGCTTTATAGCAATTTTAAATAGAATTCCAATAGAAATTTTTTTTTTGAAATTTTCAATCCTATTTAATGAAGTTTTGTTAGCATTTAATTATGTGAATTGCTTGAATGACCTTTTTTTTGGATTGACTTTCGATTCTACCCATCCCCCCAAAATAATATAGTATTATTTATAATTCTTTATAATACTATAATATATAAATAATACATAAATATATAGTATATAAATATATAGTATATAAATAATATATAAATAATACAGTATTATAGTCTGTAATACTATATTCATCAAAGAAGCCAGAGCCCACGAGACATAAACATTTTGGAGTTTGCCTTTTTCTCCCCCAGGTTGGGATTTCTTGGACTTTTGCATATGGAAGTTTTCAACCAGCGACTGGAGCAAGAATATAATGCTTCTGTAATTTTGACAACCCCAACTGTTCCATATAAAGCTGTTCTTTCATCAGCAAAATTGATAAAGGTACTGTTGTGAACCAGCATACAAGGGAAAACTAAACAAGCGTGTGTATATATATGCAGAATGCGGGAGAAACTTTTTAGTACACCATTACCTGATTAGCTTTTACATGAAATATTTCTTCATTAGTAGCATTAAAAATTGAATTATTTTATGACTAATAATGGACAAGCCACTTGAGAACTAATTTATGCAGTATTTTTCTTAACCTGATAGAAATCTATATATTGTCGGTACTATCCTGTTACTGAGAGTGAAACGTAGAATCAGTGATTATCTGTCTAAATCCAGTACAGAAATTAAGAATATAATTTGGTCATAAGTAGTTTATCTTAATGAAAGGTAAAGTATTCATGGCTACCTGGCTATAGGAAATTTTAGATTTCAAGGTAGTGATAGAGACAGTATTGTATTCTATCTGAATGGCAGTCTCTTCATTTTAAACAAATTTTAACTTTGGCATCTGTAGATATTTTCCAACAAAATGAACTTAGGAAACTAATGGTAATGCCTTATAAGGTCACTTTTACATCATATTTTTTCTAACTGGTACATAAGTTGTGCTTAGTAGATGTCAATGAACGGGATACATTACTTACTAAAAATTGTTATTAAGGGGTTATGGTTGGGTGGTTTTTAAAGTACAGAGCATGTTAGGGACTCCTGGGTGGCTCAGTGGGGTAAAGCCTCTGCCTTCAGCTCAGGTCATGATCCCAGGGCCCTGGGATCAAGCCCCGCATCGGGCGCTCTGCTCAGCAGGGAGCCTGCTTCCTTCTCTCTCTCTGCCTGCCTCTTTGCCTACTTGTTATCTCTGTCTGTCAAATAAATCTTTAAAAAAAATAAAATACAATAAAATACAAAGCCTATTAAGATAATAGCTTAACCTTCAGGAATTCTTTTGATTTTATTAATTCAGCAAATGCAATTATAATAAATTCTAACATTTACTATAAATTAAAGGATTTTAAAGCGTGGTAATTAAGACTTATTTTTAGCTGTTGGTGATTTTTCTTATTTTTAGGAGTACAGAGAAAAGGAAATTACAATCATCAATCCTGCACAATTCCCTGATAAATCAAAAGTAACAGAATATTTGGAACCAGTTGTTTTGGGTACAATTATCACACCAGATGAATACACTGGAAAAGTAATGATGCTTTGCCAGGTATAAGTATGATACAGTTTAATATAAAAGTAAATTTTAGTCCTCTCTAACAGTGGTTTCCCACTCAGGTTTTGAAAGTTTTCTCTCTGTAGAGCACATTGAATTTGTAAGAAATTTTCATAAAGATCTACATCTATGTGTGCGTTTATATATATGTGTATATATATATATGAGAGATGTAGATATAAATACACTTCTAAAATAATTTTGATTTTAAATGAGAAAAATAGAACCAGAATTTTGGTCATCTGTGTTAATGACTTGAAGTGTTAGCCCACAGGAAAGAAATTTGATGCTTATTTATACTTACTAGCTCAAAGAATAATTTCTTTTAGCCTTTATAGTACTTGAAAGTGAGGATAGTTTGAAAGATTACTGTAATACTTGACACTTTTGACTAAAGGATGGGTATTCCCTATTTTGCCTTAGTTTTTGCCACAATGTACTAAAGGACTTAATCCATAAATCATAGTCCTCAAAAAAACTATTTGAAGTACTCTGACGTATATTGGAAAGAACTCTCAAATGATTATTAGTGGACTTGAATTTTAATTCTGTAATCACAAACTAGAAAACTTGGGTCAGTTGCTTAATTTCTTGGGACTAAGTTTATTTGTAAAACAGGAAATCAGAACTTTGATGTTATCTGTGGTTAATTTGGTTTATCATTAAGTACTATATAATTTTAAAAAGATAAAATTGTTAGATAAAGACAAAGGATTAAAAGCTTTGGTAATAAATACAATTAAAATATGAAATAGTTGTCTCTATTAAAAGTGTTATTTGCAAGTTTTTGGTAGACCATTAAATATTCCTTCATTTTGTCCACTGTTTATTAGGATTTGTAAGGAAATTTTTAGGTTGGTAATTGACATCTTTCTATAGTCATTGTAAATCATTTCATCAATAGGTTATCATTAAACACATTTTTTTTTTCTTTTTTAGGCTCGAAGAGCAGTTCAGAAGAATATGATGTATATTGATCAAAATAGAGTTATGCTTAAATATCTCTTCCCTTTGAATGAAATTGTGGTGGATTTTTATGATTCTTTGAAATCCCTGTCTTCTGGATATGCTAGGTAAAAATTTAATTCAGATACCTGGATAATTCTTTTGAATACTGACCAACATAAGTATAGAAAGGCTTGAAGCAACCTTTAAAGTATTAGAGAGTACTCCTAATTTGCTTATGGAAGAATGAATTCCTTTAGTTCACTTTTAGCCTTCTAATAAAAAAAATTAGTGTCCTCTTCATGAAAGAGTATACTCCTCTGTCCGTTAAAAATTATATGTAATTTCAGGAAGCTACTGTGATCTTAGTGGCACATTTGTATGGTGGCACATGGGATTCGTGTGTTATATAATCCTAGGAGCACCTGAATATATTTGGAAAACAGAAGTACATATTTAGTCTGTAAAAAAATGCTACATGTGTCCCCATACCTGTGAACACTTTATTAACTTGGTCTTCCAGAATAAGTGGTCCACATTATGAAAACCATTGTCTAATCTCCAGGAGTGTATAGAGGAACAGCCTGATAGAAGTGAAGGAAGATTTAATACTAAGTAACAAAGAACTCCATGCATAGCATTTTGGGAGTATTTTATGTTGGGGTAAATAAGTCTAGATGCCCTTAATACCCTGAGATCTTATGTTATTGGATAGCATATATTGGGATATTAAAGAAAATATAAAATACGCTGGGAAAGTAGGGAAAATGAGCATTCACATCTGTAAAATACACATGCACCTACGTGCATGTGCAGGCATATTTAATACATTCAAAGAAAGATTCGTGTTCAGAGAACATGCTACAGTGATCTGGAAATTTAGCTTTATGAAATGAGTGTTAGAGTGAAAGTTATCATAATTGATACAAAGGAGTGTTCTTTGTGTTTTTTTTTTTGCATTGAGAAACTATTTTTTCTACCTTTTCAGCCAATTTTTTTCTTATGTGTCTTCTTTCAGACAAGAACATAAGCAAATAAGTGGCAGTGGGATTTAAAGTAGAATGAATTGAGGCAGCATGTCATTAAAATAGTTATTGTGGGGCGCCTGGGTGGCTCAGTCAGTTAGGCATCTGCCTTCAGCTCAGGTCATGATCACAGGGTCCTGGGATTGAGCCCCGAGTCAGGCTCCTTGCTAAGCGGGAAGCCTACTTCTCCCTCTGCCTCTGGTGGCTGCTCTCCCCCCCTGCTTGTGCTCTCTCTCTCTGACAAATAAATGAATAAAATCTTTAAACAAGCAAAAATAAAAATTATTGTGGTTAAAAGAATAATTACTAAGCTGAGTGTTTATAAACATTTTTAACGAAGTCTGTCAATTGTAGTTTGCATTTAGATACCCCTTTATGAATTAAGTGGTCTTAAAATCTTTTAGCTTAGAAACTTAAACATACTTCAGATTAATGAAAGAATTAAAGTGATTCTTATGTTCAAGATGGATCTTTTTTACATGTAGTCAGTTCCTAAGAATAAAAATGCACTGTAGTCTGTCTAGCCTAGTCATTGGCCTCTCCTGGACTTAGATAAGGAACAATTTCTCTTATTCCAGGTGGCAAGAATCTTCTGCAGCTGGGGCAGAAAAAGAATTCCTTTGTTATTTGAGGACTGTAGTGAGGCTGCTTCTCATACTTAACTTGATGCAACTGTTTGTCCTTAAACCTGCACGTAGCTTTTTTGAGTCCTAAATGTGTTCCTGCATCCAGGGGTACAGTTGAATGAATAATCTGTGTTTTGAATAGAGATTAGGTTTCCATTTGGCTGGCTTGGAAACAGAGACGTTTGCTTAATTGTTTCTTTTGGAAAAAAATGAATGAAGAAATTCTAAAATTTTGGAGCACAGAATTTTAAAGTTGTAAACAGGTGAAATCTAGGGACTATGTCTAGATTTTATTTTTCTGCATATACTTAAGGTGATATCTTTCATATAGTAAATGCTTAATATTTATTGAAAGGATTTTAGCAAAACTTTAGGTAATATGGTTTTTATGGTTTTAGAGAGTATTAGTATCAACTTACGACCTTCTTGCTTTAGAAACCAAAAATTAGCAGCTCTAGGCATTAGTTTGTTTTTAAAATTAAGACAGTTTAGGACTATATATGTTCTTATCCATAGTTTAAAAGACATGTAAGCATAATGAAAGTTTCTTTCTCATTAGACTTCCGTTTTGAGAGTTAAACCTGTTTTGATTAGCATTGTAAGCTTTTGCCATATTTTGTAATAGTAATAGCTGATGCTAATCAAGTGCTTTAATATGCTAAGCTAGGCTCTGTTTTAAACACTGCTTTTGTATTAGGTACTGTTTCAGTGCTTTACACGTATTAACTCATTTCATCCTCAAGCCCTGTGAAGCTTTAAGCCGAAGAGTAGTGTAAGAAATCCAAATTTCTTATTTACAGTGACTCTTTATCAGTACCATAGCATTTATTTAACTGGTAATAGAAAGCTAAACAGAAATCCATACTTAATGAATCTTGGAGAATGACACATTAATATATACTGTTGTCTACAGCCAGCCAGCTCTTGGGAGGAAACATTGGGAAGAAGGTGACATTTGCCTTCAGTGTCCCATTTTCCTAGACTGGCTTACAAGTTTATTTTCCTTTCCCCTGTGAAGCATGTTTCCCTTGCTTTTGCCTTTCATTTTGTAAATGTAAAAAGTTGAGGGAGTTTGTTCCTCACTGTGGTCATGTAGATCCCATTTATGTGAAATGTATATTTACTATTTTGATAGCTCTTTGGGTCAGGTGTAAGAGAATGGGTAGAAAAAAATTTTTTTTTTTTTTAAAGATTTTTTAAAATTTATTTATTTGACAGAGATCACAAGTAGGCAGAGATGCAGGCAGAGAGAGAGGGGGAGAAGAAGGCTCCCTGCTGAGCAGAGAGCCCGATGTGGGGCTCGATCCCAGGACCCTGGGATCACAACCTAGCCGAAGGCAGAGGCTCTGACCCACTGAGCCACCCAGGTGCCCCTAGAAAAAATGTTTTGCAAAGAAAAATAATACAGTCTTTTGGGAAGTATGTTTATCTATTACTTGGATGCTCTTTCTTGTTAGTTTTGATTACGAAGATGCGGGCTACCAGACTGCAGAACTTGTAAAAATGGATATTCTACTGAATGGAAATCCTGTAGAGGAGCTGGTAACTATTGTACACAAGTAAGTCAAATAGAAACTAATCATGGAATGTGAAAGTAACCACTTTTGACATGTTTTTATTTAATTATGGATTATTTATTTTTATTTGACAGCTATATTTTGAAAACTTACAAGTAATTAAATTTCCTTGTACTGGGGCACCTGGGTGGCTTAGTTGTTAAGCGGCTGCCTTCGGCTCATGTCATGATCCCAGGGTCCTGGGACTGAGCCCCGCATTGGGCTCCCTGCTTGGTGGGAAGCCTGCTTCTCCCTTTCCCACTCCCTCTGCTTGTGTTCCCTCTCTCGCTGTATCTTTCTCTGTCAAATAAATGAATAAAATCTTTAAAAAGAAAAAATTTCCTTGTACTAGTTTTTCTTTCCATTCTTTTTCCATACTGTTAAATGTGAAAGAATAGAATTGCAATAGCTAAAAAGAAGAGTGTCTTGGAAAGAAATATTTCCCTCACCAGAGTAATGTAGAAGAAATGGTTTTAAACTTTATGATAGATTTAAAATTGAGAACAAAAAGTTTTTTTTTTTTAAGAACAAAAAATTTTTTATATTCATATAGTTTTATAATAAAAAATGAAATATCCTACATGTTCAGCAAATTGATAAAAATAAATAATGGAGCACCTCTTTAATAATCCTGTTAAGCTATTAAAATTATACTATGAAATAGTCTTAAGTGACATAAAAATGCCTATTAAATAAAGAGTAGACATATATTCACTATGATTCAAACTATAAAATATCAAACATATGCAGGAAAATAATGGAAGGATATATGTTTTTAACATAGACATCCTAAAATGTTTAACACTGGTTTTCTGCGGATAAAGGGAATGGCATCAATAATGGTTTTGTTTTTTTGTTTTTTGTTTTTTTAATTTTCTTTATTTATTTGAGAGAGAATGAGTGAGAGCATGAGAGGGGAGAAGATCAGAGGGAGAAGCAGACTCCCCAAAGAGCTGGGAGCCCGAGGCGGGACTTGATCCTGGAAGTCCAGGATCACGACCTGAGCCGAAGGCAGTCGCTCAACCAACTGAGCCATCCAGGCGCCCAATAATGGTTTTTATGTATGTTTTTCTACATTGCCTGTAATGGTCATAATGTTATTTTTGCAGTCAGAAAGTCACATGATTCAGAGTGAGAGATGTTCATGACAGATGAGTTCCATTTGAATCTCTTTGAGAAATCACCTTTACGTTGATTATGCATATGGACTAGAAAGGTACTTTCAGTATTCATATTTAGGATATGTAAATAGTTGCATTTTCTCTCTCAGAGACAAAGCACACTCTGTTGGCAAAGCCGTCTGTGAGCGTCTCAAGGAGTCTCTTCCTAGGCAGCTGTTTGAGATAGCAGTTCAGGCTGCTGTTGGAAGTAAAATCATTGCAAGAGAAACGTGAGTTGAGATTCATTTCTGTTCTTGTTTTAGAAATGGCAAATGGTTAGAAATGATAAGACTAGAACTGTATTATGAAATAATATTGAAAAATTTAACGTCACATTGGCCTAAACTTTGTTCCTACTTGTAGAAATACTAATCTGATTTTTAATTCCACTTAATTGATAATTGTTGATTTACTTAACACTTAGTGATATTATTTATAATAATATAATGGGCATGGGTTTGAGGAATTGCTTTATTTCCACTCATTTTACTGAATGACTACTGAATTTCCTGGGTAAGGTATGGCTTCTAAGCTAATAGCAACTGAAACTTAAGAAGTTTTGAGGGAAAAAAAAAAAAGGTTTTGGAGATACTCTTCCAAAAGACAAAACTAAATTATGATTTTTACTTGAAGCACTTAATATCACTTTTCAGAACTACCCAATTTAGAGATTAGAGAGTTGACAGAGGAATGCTAGCATGTTGAGTTTTGTATTGTAGATTAAGTGATCTGTAGTAGACATTGAAGATAGACTAATTTATGTAGAAAACTGGTCTTTTTGTATGAGAGATGTGATACACAAATCAGAACACGGAATAAGCTGCTCTACTAGTAACAGTAAGTGCAGTAAGTTATTGTGTAACTTATTTCCTCGGTTTCTGGAAAATCAGAAGTGTCCCCTAGTTGGAAATTGCCATTCAGTTGTAGTTTAAACCCAAACCTACATGTATCAGTAGTGGTGAAATTAGAGCCAACATTTTACATAGTCATGGGACAAATTTTATGCCTATATTTGAAGTGAATTTCATTTCCTAAGTCAATTTAGTTTTAGTTAATTGTTTTGAATTTCATGAGTACCCAGAGATTAGGCAGAACATAGTTGATAACTAGGGAACATCCTGGAAAGCACAATTTAAAATAGCAAATAATTCCAACATGTGTGTTGAGGTAGAAGATACCTTAGAGGGGGAAAAAAAAATAGATTTTTATATCTTACAAGAAATACATATAAATGGAACTTTTTAAAATTTCTAAATTTCTTAGAAACACTGTAGAAATAGATTAGTTTGTATCTGTTTGGGTGGATATATTAAAATTATTTAGTTTGCCCTGAAAAGGGCTTTATAAAAGAAATAATATTTTTATATTCCTAGTCACTCTTAACCCACATGTGGTAGAGTTAGTAATGTGATAACCATTTTTCAATTTTTTGGAAGTAGTAGTAGTAAGAACAGTTTTAGGTTGAGCCAGAAATGATGTTAGGATGTTATACTTACTCTTGAATTTGGCCTAAATCAAGACTACCCACAAGCCCTGATATTTTTTATTCTTAATAAAATTTATGTTGATGTTCATGTTGAATCCATTTTCTGTTTTATGTCAAATACATAAAAATAGATGCAAGAGCATTTGAGCTATTTGTTTATGGCAGTTTTACTTAGGTATGACATGATTATTTAAATCTGCAAAGGAGATTGTTTTTAAAAATAAAATTCTTATAAAGAGTATATTGAAACGATATAATTTTTATATAAAATTTCTTGTTTTACAGTGTGAAAGCTTATAGGAAAAACGTTTTGGCAAAATGTGTACGTATTTGCCAGTATTCTACTTTTTATTAATATATCTGTTTTCATGCGTTTAAAGTAAGAGGGGAGATATAAATCTATTGGTTTCCATTGTTTTTATAATAATCATTTCATCTCTAGTTTTCTTTTTAAATACGTGTATCTCAGCTTGACTGTTAATATATTCATTTTGATAACATTTTTATTTTTCCATCTTATTTATAAAAATTTCCCTTATATGAAGTACTACTCAGTATTTTTGTAATAGTTATGATCAGGATAACATGTTTTATTGATCTAATTTATAAGGAGAAATTTTGAAGACAATGACTGTGTCTTACTCTGGGAAAGAGTATGGCAATTTGAAATCCACCTCTCCTACATTGCTTTGCCGTTTGTGGTCTCCTCTATTAAAATTTCTTAACTCAGTTATGAGAAATAAATGGTTAATGCTTTTTTAAATCCTTAGTGTCAGACTGGCACAGTTATGCCTGTGTGAATTTATTAGACTACGGCTATATGATCCAGAATTTTAAGACTTGAATCAGTAAGAGGCTTGATAATTATTCTTGACATGCATAACATAATGTTGGGTTTCCTTGGTGATTTCCATCTCCATCCAAAAAATAAATAAACCCTTTATCATTCTTTGAGATGTTAAATTATGATCTGCTATGGAGGTGATTAGAAAAGTAACTTTGCAGATGTCTACCTCATGGGTAATAACTGTAAGGTTATTATAATTCTGTTGTCTGTTTGTACTTGTATGATTTTCTGTGGAGTGATTTGGACTTCCAATTTTTAAAAATATTTTTCAGTATGGTGGTGATATTACCCGAAAAATGAAACTTTTGAAGAGACAAGCAGAAGGAAAAAAAAAACTGAGGAAAATTGGCAACATTGAAGTTCCAAAAGATGCTTTCATAAAAGTTCTAAGAACACAATGTGATAAGTAATTGGTGGAAAAAAATACAGTGAATTTTCATAAATTAAAACTTGTGTATCTTTTAATTTTTTTCATAATTTATATGTTGATGACAATGAAAATTATAAAATTTGCTGGTTGCTTTCTGGGTTTTTAGGTTTAAAGAATCTATTAGCTCTTTGAAAAGTAAGTAGTGGGTGGGTTAAGAACTTGGATTCTGAAGCCATATTGTCCGGTTTCACATTTCTGTTCCACCACTCGCTAGAGCAAGGTAAATTATTACTTACCTTCTCTGTTTACTCTTTAGTGAAGTCAGGATTATGCTGTTATTTACCTCCATAGGTGGTTGTGAAGATTGTATCATATAGTATGTTTAAAATACTCAGTGTATGACACAGTAGTGTTTAGTGAATCTTAACTATTTTGTTTTCATGCACATTTTTTCTTACACTGAACGACCCCATAATTAAGATTCTATCTAATTCAAGTCTATGATATTTTCAGAATCACCTAAGTATCAGTTTGTTTAGCTGGATAAATTTAGATTTATAGCAGTCAGTTATTAAATAAAGTCAGTAGCTTTCTAGCTGAACATGTGCTGTCTAGTTTTTGTTAAAATTTTTATAAATGAAACAGTTTAATACACATCTAAATTAAAATAAGGGTAGGGGCTTATTAACATGCATTGGGTGCAAAGCAATAGGTGTTTGGTGTTAGCAGTAGCTGTTATTAATAGCAATTTTAGTAATTATTGTCTAGATTTCATAGTTGAGACAAAGCTTTAGTTAACTTGATGTCACACAGCCAGTAAATGGCTGTCATGCTTCAAAGCATGTGTTCTTACCTCCATTCACCGTTAGTGAACAAACTAGAGGGCAACTTGTATTACAGTAAGATACTTTAGCCATTGAATTTTGTTCTGTACCTTGAATGAACTAAATGAGGTAAATGTCTTTTAGGGATAAGACTATCAATGTATTTTATACTAGGATTATTACATAATGAGGTAATTCTAACTATAAGGTAGTGGGATTTACTTAAAATTGTGTATAGAAGTTAATTAACCTGTGACTTTGTCCTACTTATATCATCTGCTCAGGTATCTTCCCTGTCCTCTCTAGCTGTAATAGAACAGTTGAAATATGAGGTTCCATAATACTTGTATTTTGAGTAGTATATTTGAAACTAGAAGAGCATTTACATATAATTTCTAAATGTTCTGTTCTACCATTATTATCAGGTGAAAGTTACAGGTTGGTACCTGGCACAAAGTATGCACCATGTGTCTACCATTTAATATTTGTGCTTTATTAGTATGTGTATAATTTAGACACATTTAGTTCTCTTCCTTTAAGCAGTATTAGTAGTAGTGATAAAAGTATTTTTCAAATTTTTTAGTATAAGCGTAAGTTCTCTCCCCTGACCATTCTCCCAAACAGATGATTTTCATGATACGGAGTTGTGTGCCTTCTAAGTATATTCCCCAGAGGACCTTAACATTTTTGCAAACATTACAATCATTTAAATATGAGTATTAGAATGGCCACCATTTATTGAGTATATGACAGCCACTGAGCTGAGCTCCATAGGCATTTCCTCAATCTATACAACAGTTGAGGTACAGGTACTATTACCACCTTATCGTAAGGGCTGGCAGCTCAGACTTATACGTGCCGGTGTCAGTAGTTGACAGAGCTGGAATTCAAACAGTGGTTTCCTTATCCAAACCCTACCAATTTTTAGCTGCCATGCTTTATTGCCTTGTGGATATCTAATAGGCTTCTTTGTTCTTTAATAGCAGCTTAGCCTTTGAGTTAGGGAGTTAGAGTGGCCAGAAATCAGTCTGCTGAGGGGCTTGAGTACATGAGCTTGACTCAAACTAGTCCCCTAAAATCAAGGGCAGTGATAGATCTTCTAAATTGTGTTTCACCTAGCACATTTAAAGCACAGAAATAACAAGTTGAATCATGCACCAAAACAGTTATCTTTAGCGTTTTCACTATAATACTATCACTTTCTAAGATAGGGTGGTTTGTAGTAACACAGTACTTTATTACCAGATGTGTGACTGGAAGATGATATGACTTACTAGTCATTTAAGGACCATGTGTATCACTCAAGGCAATTATAACTACATTATTTGGAATTTAAGGAACATATTTTATACAAACAGTTTTATTTACTTTTATTTATTTTTTGCTGTTTTTATTTTAAGGAACTTAATTATAAATACGTTTCAGTCACATTTCTATTAAGTAGTTATGTAAGTAATGCTTCTCCGTGATGGGCTTATACGATGCAAAATATGCTGAAGAAATGGGAGAATTTTTTACTCCCCACTGAGCAACTACTAAATTATAGGTAGAATTATTGTCTTTTAACTTAAATCTCCTAAATTCCTGATGGCAACAAACAAAAAGTAAATGCAGAATCAATACTACTACTAATGTTGGAATATCTCAAATGCATGTAGTCAGTTTTACTTCTGGAAATAAAATTTAGATAACCTTTATTTATTATAAGCTTTATTTGAGTTAAAGATAGAAAACAATATACTTTTATTTGCAATTTAATGATGCAAGTTAATGGCAATTTTAAGTTTACAGTAATTCCTTTATAAATATTTCATCATGTTATCCTTTTAGACATGTAAGTCAGGAATAAAGCTAATCATTTATGAATTTAACAATAATCAGAAAATTGTCTTCAAAAGAATTTCTTTAAGTGCGTTGCTAGGTATAAAGTTCATAATTGCCAAAATACTTATATTAAAAGCATGAACCCAAGTCATTAAATAAAAATAAGAGCACATTTGTAAAAAAGTGCTATAGAAGGTGGTGCACAAAAATCATGCACTTATACATACTTTCCAAAAGGACGTAAACTGTACTTTTAGGCACTGGCATCTCTTCAGATTCTCTGTTCCAATATATAGCAGGACTTTTGATGTCCAAATGCTACTGCAGAAAGATGACTAAGGCAACCACGTGCAGAAAAGCTTGTGTGTAATGCACAGGAAATACAAAGATTACATTCCAAAAGTAAAGGTTTGCAATGATTGATATCTGAAAGGCTTGGAGTGTCTTTATATGATTAAAAAATAAAACTCTGAGAATGCCACCAGATTCATATGAATAATATTTGATGTATAGATTCTTCATATTTAAAATGACTTGAAAGTTTTAAACAGACATTTCATTTCTGTGATGTTTTACAGAGTGGCTGTGTGGCTTCTGTACTTTATAATAAACAGCTATTTTTGACAGCCAACTACTTCTAAACCTTAGTATAAAATGGACACATTCTAAATCTGGAATGTTTAACATATAGATATTGGACTTCAAAAATGACAGTCTTCAAAAAATCCCCATGTTTTATAATATTGCATAGCTGAAAATTCATCTACTACTTATAAAAGTGTTCTGTTCATTCAAGTAGAATTTGCTCCAATCTCCTTCAATTTCCTTCTTTCATACTGTATAGTGGATCCACAAGTTTATTGTGCACATGCATTAAACCTTAAAGAAAAAAAAGCACAATTCTAGTTTTATTTTTAATTTTGAATTATCTCATTTACCTTAGAAAACAAGAATTTATAAGATACCATAAGTATGCTGGTTCCCATCTGATACAAAATAGTTAAGTTTTATTGAAAAATGTATTTTAAATAGAAATGTTTCGTAAGGTTTGGTTGTACTACCTAGCAAATAGCAATTTACAATTATTTATGAAGCTGTAGATATTGAGTACAAATTCCTTTGGAGTAGCAGCAGTTCTTGCCTTCAAAGCTTCAATATGGCAAAATAACAGATCTCAATACTGACGTGGTTAATACATTTTAATTTTATCCTATAAAGCTGTTGAGTTCGATCCTCTGGCACTTCTCTACCAGACTTCAGCCCAGGAACTCAGAGAACTGTTGTTAAACTGGGATAGTTAAGTTCTCCGAAGTATTATCCTATCCGTTCATCTGGCAAATTATTTTCCACGATTTTGACATGTATTTACAATTGGGGTGATAACAAACTATACTGAAGGAGGTTAGTCAAAAAATCCAAGGTGCCATTAAAAAGTTGAGGACTCCATACTTAAACATAACCAAAGTTTTAAACTTCAAATGCGAAAAATGTAGAGCAGTCAATACTGAATCATTTCTGACTCCCAAACTGATGCCACCTGGAAGCTGCCCGCCTGGCAGCAATCAAGTACAGCCCCAACCTTAGGATGTAATAGAGCTAGAGAAGGTTCAAGGAGTCCTTGACTCTCCCATGTTAATATACAAATTTGTGTCTGCAAGTGTGTGTGCATGTGTGCGTTCTTTCCTGAGGGCGGTCTCTTCACCAGATTATCATAGTGGTCCGTGACCCAAAAGAGGTGAACCCTGGTTTTCCTTTGCGCTCTTAACCTCTACATTCCCGTTTGCTTTCAAAGTATAATCTAGCCCAGGGTTTCTGGCTGGCTAAGTTGAAGCGCATGCGACTCGATTTTGGGTTTGTAAATTCAAGCCCCGTGTTGTGTGTAGAGATTACTAAGAATACATACATACATACAATCTAGTCCCATTTTATCAATATACTTCAACTGTTCTCTAGTCTATTAATGGGAACTTGTTCTGCTCCTGTTAGCTCTTCCTTGTAGCTGTGCTGTTAGAAATTATGCTGTTTCCTCCCAATATGAGAGCTACTACCCATTCTCTAGGGCTTTCCACTCTATCAACTCAAAGTTTTCTTCAACTACGATTTAACTCTTGCTCTTTATTTAATATCCTTTGGGCTTCATAGGGTGACTTACGTCATTTAATGCTTAGACGGTGGTAGTTTCATAGACTTGTGTTCTCCCATCCATCTACCTGTCCCAACTACCTACCCACAATTTATCAAATGCCCCCAATGTACCAGGCACACTTCCAGATGCTGAAATAATGCAGTGAACAAAATCTAAGTCCCTACCTTTGTGGAGCTTTTATTTTAATGAAATATATTACATTTTATTTTCTCAAATCACTTAATATGCCAACTTTTTATGATGGTGAGTCAACTACTTTCAGAAAGAGATACTTCTTAGACTTTTTTTTTTTTTT